GCTGGGAAAGGGATTACCAATTTGCAAAAGCTAGAACTCTTAGGCATATGGCCACAGACAAACACTGCAGCTGTTTTCTGAGGGTATTCGCAAGACTGAACTTGGTCGCAGTGGCTCTCTGTGGTTCCTGATTACTCAACATGCATCCCCATATTCTGGGAATGTTAGGAAAATGCCAAAATAATTTTCTCATAAGCCTATTTTGTACTTGAAATAATATTTTGTCTTTGAAACAATGTTTGCTTGTTGCACTAGTCTGGCCTCTAATCAGTACTTGCAGTTTTGGCTTCTGTGACTGAGCTCGCTTATCTATGCTAGCCTAGTGAATGCTGAGAAAAGAAAAAAAGAAATTGAAAACCCTGGAAGAGTCTGTTTATAAAAACTTTGTGAGACCTGAGCTCGGGGTCCAGGTTTGTAAGCATTAGCTTGTCTGGGCCTGCTGGTGTAATAAATACCTGACTCTCCAACCCTCTGAGTGCTGACTGCTTCTTGCTAAGTCTGTTTCCACAACAGAAACAGCCTCCTGTGTTTCTTTGGGTAACTACCTCTCCAAGTCCTTCTGGTTGGATGCGGGGGTCTGTGGTGGGCCCATGCACCAGGACCAGCCCACTGGCACTATCTGTCCTCCTGCTTTTCTGTTTGGGTCAGAGACATGTGTCCCATATGGTTCAGTGAGACCCAAACCTGGGCCTTGGGCTGGACTATTAACTGGGAAGGAGGATGCCTGTTTCTGCTGGTAGGATTGAGGACTTGTATTGCTGGTGGCCTCTCCCATCTTCAGACATACAGATATGGCTGAAGATGAAGCACACCCAGGGGGGATCGGAGCCAAGACATACAGAAGGAATATGGTCTGAGCACCTGAATTTCATCACACTGGATGCCCCGATCCCCATGGACTTTTAAATCAGGTGGGTGAATCCATGCATTACTGCCTTAAGTCACTCAGAGTTGGCCCTGGTGACTTGTGATTGAGGGTCGCACCTGCAATGATCAGACTTGCTGTGGAAACATGAAGACCTTCAGAACCTTCTACATCCCGCTTCCTCCCACAAGTCTCAGCCTAGTAATTTACAGCTTGCTTCCTCTGACACCTTCTCTCATGCAGTGGGTGCAACTGACATTCTACCTGTGCTAGGATGGGGACCCCAGCTCCCCAGCTCAGTAACTGAAACTTGTTCTCTTTGGCTTGAATCCTGGCCTTGGTAATCCTCATGTCATGGCCTGCCTCTGTACCCCAAGTACCATGCTCTGTTTCCCAGACAGGATTTCCTTCCCTCCTTCTTGGTCAGTGGCCGACAGGGGTGGGCAGCCACATCTGGGGACATCATCTCCCTGGACTGTCTGACAGAGTTCCCTGAGCTGGGGGGTTCATGACTCAAGCAAAGCTAACTTGCCCATGGGAACATGAACTGTGGGCCGAGGGATGCCAGGATGGAAAATGCCGGAGCTGGCTATTCCTCCCGTGAGATCCTGAAGTGCCAGCCTGCCAGTTCCTGTTACCTGCAACCTCAAGGATGCCCTAGTTCCTGTGCTCTCCCATGCCGGTTCTTCACATAACTCCTCGTCCTGTAAAGTAGTCATAGAATCTTTCAGCAAATTTCCCCTTTGCTTAAGTCAGCCAGAGTTGGTCCTAATCAAAGAATACAGACTGACCTGCCTCTCCCACTGTCTATCCCACCTCAGCGGGACCTGTAGCTCTGGGTCCCAGAGGCCTTCACCACCTCTCCTCGTTACATTAACACTTTCATGCCTGGCAGCACCCGAGCTTTGACAGCAACGGCAGAGTAAGTTGGTCCTAATCAAAGAATACAGACTGACCTGCCTCTCCCACTGTCTATCCCACCTCAGCAGGACCTGTAGCTCTGGGTCCCAGAGGCCTTCACCACCTCTCCTCGTTACATTAACACTTTCATGCCTGGCAGCACCCGAGCTGTGACAGCAACGGCAGAGTCGGTCCCAGAGGCCTTCACCACCTCTCCTCGTTACATTAACACTTTCATGCCTGGCAGCACCCGAGCTTTGACAGCAACGGCAGAGTACCAGGCTTAGCAATATCAACCCCATTGTAATTCATTTTATTTCCCCCAGAAGTCGCACGCATTTATTTCCCATTGTAGAAATACAAAGTGAAAGTTCGACTCCCCTAAAGACATCCTAAATTTGTCCAACTACCTTGCAGTCTGTTAAGCTAGAGGTTTCAGCATCTAAGTACTTAAAGAAAGCTTTCTTTTTGATGTTTAAATTGCATGTTTCTTTTGCCAGATACCAAGCAGGAAAAAAAAGGAAAGAAAGGAAAAAAAGACTGGCCACTTCAGATTCACATTATTATAATAGGATTTGGCATTATTTCACACCTTTATCTAGTTCATCATCTGGCATTTCAGAAAGTTGAGTTGTAAAAATGAATCACTTTTGGGACTGGAAGATAACTTTCTTCTCTGCCCATTGGCTCTGCGGTGAAGTGGCTGACTCGAGACTGATGCGTTTTCAGGTGTTTCAAATCAGGAAAATAAGACACACGTTTATTACAAGTGTGCCTAATACGCGATTATTTGTACCTCATATGAAGATTAGGTTTTGGAAGAGACAGATGAATGTCTTTTTTTGGCAGAGACGAGCGTGCACATGGATCTGCATGCTGATTTAAGTTTATCGCGCAGCAACGTTCCAATGAGGGGCTCTGGTATGCCTTGTATATATAGATGCACCGTGGGTTATGACCATTTAATTAAATGTCATTATGAAAATACCTTCTATCTAAGCACTGAGCAGAGCTTAAGAAAGGAGGACAGAAATTTTTGAGGACTTATTTTTTTGCCTGCTTTTTGTCAGGCAAAAACCCAACCACAATGGACCAAGAATGAGGCAATATCTCTGCTCCTTCCCCTTCCAATAGCTGGGAGTCAACTAGCATTTAGCAGATGGGAGGAGCATGGACGTTGCAGATTGTCCCATTTCTGTCCTGATTCCTCTGCCACCAAGCTGGGCTGCCTTGAGTAAGTTACTGCACCTCTCTGAATTCACAGTCCCCTGTCATAAGTGGAGTTAGCCAACCCCTTTCTCATAAAGCTGTGGAAATGATAAGCAAGGTCGTTTCTGAGATGCAGGAGGCCACACACTCTTATTTATGACTCTTTCCTCCCACTCACCCAGATTGTTGAGTTTAATTTAATGGTATTTTGCTCCTGACAACCAGCTTCTGCAACAGGAAAGGAAAAGCAATTCCTGCCTGCTTCCCATCTGTGGATCCGGAGCTGCTCACCCACCTGATGGTTTGATGCTGTAGGGAATCGGGGTCGGTGGCATTGACCGTCAGCAGCACGCTGCCCACGGAGATGTTCTCCTGCCTGGTCACCATCATGGGGTCTGGGTAGAAGACTGGACCCTCGTTGACATCCAGGACGGTGATGTGGACGGTTGCTGTGGAGCTGGGGCCATAGGCGACGTCGGGTACCAGCGGGTCTTCATTTTCCACTTTGATCAGCAGGGTGTGAAAGGCGGAAATCTCATAGTCCAGAGGCTGGAAAACAGACAGAGGGGGTCTCAGGACGTGTGTGTGCCATGAAGGACAGTCAGTTTCCCACAAAGTTCCTCTGACTTTCATGAGCAACAGCGGGTGTTTGGGGATGGATCTGGGTTTTGTGGGCTAAGCTGTAGGCAATTTGGAGATCCTCTTTAAGCAAAAGAATATTCAACATACAAATGCAAAATTAGGAATGGATGTTAAGATTTTTTTTAGACTGAGAAATAGAGACAACGGAGGACATGAGCCTTAGTGATCAGAGTCCCTCCCTTCTGAGATCTTTTTAGTCAACTCACTAGCAACGCTGACATTGAAGGACTTCCTACCTGTAACCTGTTACTCCACGGCCCCCAGTACTCACGGGGGCTTGGGTAAATGAGAGCCCAAGCTTCATAGCTGCACGATAAGATAATGCTGCCTCTGTGACCATCCATGGCAGACCAGATGGGACAGGTAGACCAAGTTTCATTTTCATGTTTCTCACTTACTTGCCATGACATCTAAAGGCTCGGGTCTCTACATCACTTAAATCTAGCATCTCCTGGCCCCCGTGCACTGTGTCCTGCAGGGTGTGATGTAGGGAAAGATCTGAGAGGCTGAGCCACATGGGATTAAGCTGCTGGGCCCTTCCCCGTGGAGGGCATTTGAAAACATATGGGGGCATTTTCGATTGTGCCATGACTTGGGGGTTTGACTGCCATTTACTAGGCAGGGGACAGTGATGCCAGACTCACAGCCATGTCCAGGACAGTCTGCCCAGTGCCAATAGGCTGCCCTGATGCAGACCACTTCAGGTGATTTTGCAAAGGGGCTGATAGAACCCACCTCCCCCCAGCTACGGTGTGGACTAACTCAGATCATGTCAAGGAAACCCCATTATAAACGTTATTACTACGGTGGTCATTCTCATCACAGAATGTCATGCATGCTATTCACTCAGTCACTCTCTTTCCAAACCATGAGAGGCACACAGTACAGTGAGTGGGATGTTTCCCAGAGTAGGGCTCCTGTCACCGAGGGTGCATGGGAGACATTTAGGTGAGATGAAAGCAAACTTTAATTTCAGCAGTTATCTTCCTGATGTTTCCTGGGAAGAACAAGCAGCTAACTCATCAGACCCATGCCCCAATGTGTATTCTTGCTGGAAGGACAGACGGAAGTGAGTCAAGGGATGTGGTGTACACTCAACTAAAAGCAGCAAACAGCAGCCATGCAGCATGCAAGGCATGTGGGAAATAGGAGCAGAGGTGAGGATGATTGACACTGGGTAAAGAGCTGCACTGGTGCAGGGACAGAAAAGGAATCTGGCAGGCTGAGCCGAGTGCCTTCAGGCAAATTACATTATCTCTCATGACAATTACAGCTAACGTGTACACAGGTGTATACAGTGCTAAGCTTTCCACACACTAGAAAGTGCACACAGGGGCATGGACACACACACACACACACACACACACACACACACACACACGAAACGCTTCCTGGTTGTGCCTGGACTTCCTCTCTTTGCCTGGAACAACTCTCAGCAGGGTTAGTTGCTGGGAAATAAGCAATTTGTGTGGCCAGCTCTTTCTCCTCAGCAGGGACCACTGGTTCTTAGTTCCCAAGGAAACAGCTTCCTTCCTTCCTTCCCTCCTTTCCTCCCTCCCTCCTTCCTTCCTGGGGCCTTCATCACTTGCAGCAAATGCTCTTGCTCTTATGACTATAAGCTCCCGGGAGGACGTAGACAGAGACCATTTCTTTCACTAGTGAATGCACAGCACAAGCACAGTGTCAGACCATAGTGGGCTCTGAACAAAGACCATGCAATGAATGAATGCATGAATGGATAACTACAATCCCTGTGCTTTTTTCTAGCACTAGTCCTTAGCAGCATGATGATCTATTATTTTGATTATGCAAAAATCTAATATGATTGGATATTTTCATCTTTTAAAAGTTACTCTGTAACTTTCTATTAAATAGAAAGACAGAGGAGTAGGGTCACCTCCTGGCCCTGATGCTTAATAACAGTGGGACCAGCAAGTCACTGCCCTTTGGAGTCTCAGCCTTCCTTTCAACAAAATCCTAGTGCAGAAGATTGTTGTAAAGATCAGGGGACAGGATGTATGGTGACTGCTTCCCACAGAGCTCAGCCTAGCATGGGTCATCCATCACCTTAAGAGGGTGAGGAAGAAGAATGTGGGATTGAAGTAGCTGGAAGAACCACTGCCCCAGCCCTGTTCTTCTGGCATGTTTCCAGGTGGACACTCCCTGAGTAGAATACTGGTTTCTGAGGAATTGAGTCATGAACAAAGCCACGGAGACAGGGAGCAGAGAGAGAGACAGAGAGAGAGAGCCAAACAGCATGAGCCTGGTCTTTTCTAGGGAGCAGAGACTCTCCAGTGTTTACTTCCATTTGCACAACGTGGGATTTAATAATTCCAGTTGTAAGATGCTCAGGCCAGGCCATCTGGAGCTGGTGAGATGTAGGTCTTCACTACCAGTCCCTTCCAAGGGTTGTCCCTTGGATTAAGAAACCCTCTGTTATCTTGGGCACACAACTTTATTAATGTGCTTTCTCTGGTGCTGGGCCTCTGTGTTGGAGGTGGGAGGAAATTAACAATGCTCCTGACAGAAGCTATAGAGATGCGATTCAATCACATTTTATCAAGAGTCACAAGAGGGAGTAGACCATTTCCCTGGAGTATTTAAAGTCCAGAAAATTTGACCCACATGGGAAGGACAGAAGACCTGGGGTTTGCTGTCTCAAAGAGGGAAGTGATCTGATAGTGATTTTTTAAGCCTATGACATGCTTGGGGATCAAGGATGCTTTCTGGATGTCTTCTTCTTTGAAGACAGAAGAGAAAATAGACTTAAAATACAGGGCGAAAGAAGAACTTTTTGACAGTTTTGGAATAGGCTTACAGAATAACTTAGGGCGTTTCTGACCAGAAAGTTTTAATGATGAAACAGGTGCTCATTTGCCTGAACCATGAGGCTTCAGTCCTGTTGGGAGGCAGGACCCACTGGAAACCAGCACAGTCCTGAGACTCCTGCTGGTTCTTCCTGAGACTGCTAACTGGTTAGGGCAGACCTTACTCACCTCTTACTGTAGAGGCCAAAAGACCAGATCTGACTTTCTCAGCTTTCCAGGAAGCTAAGGATAAACATGAGCCATTGGCCCATGAAACACCAATGGAGACTGGCTGAGGGATACTTGGAAGAGATTGTTTCCTGATAAGAGGAGAGGGGCACATGAAAGCACAACCTCCCACTTGCCTGGCTGTCTTTGTGTTTCCCGCCTTGGGACATAGCAGTGGGAGGACTCGATGCCCGGGGCTTTGGCAGGCATTTTGTGTCTACGAGGAAAAATCCAAAAGTATCTGAGGTACCCCCTACTGGCTCTCTGACACCTTGAACTGCCAGCCAATTCTGCACTGGCCCACCTTCACCAAGTTATGAAAATCCTTAGATTCTCTTTATTATTTAAACTACTGTCAGTCTGGCATCCTGTTACTTGTGGCAGAAAGCATTCCTAACGAATGCACCGGATTGCTGACACAGTGGAAAGCATCAGAGAGCGTAGCCAGATTAAACTACTGTCAGTCTGGCATCCTGTTACTTGTGGCAGAAAGCATTCCTAACGAATGCACTGGATTGCTGACACAGTGGAAAGCATCAGAGAGCGTAGCCAGCCCTGTCTCTAGAAGGCTGTCCTGGGGCTTTGCCTCACATGTGCTGAGAGGCAGGGAGAGCTCAAGGCTCTTCTCCTACTGATTCGTGCAGCCAGAGGGAAGGGAGTGTGCATCCAATTCTGAAGCAAAGGAAGTCCACGCACTACTAAGTCGAAGCTCAGTGAGAGTCCAGCCTCTCTGGGCACTCAGGAATTTTCAGGGAGGGCAGATGTGTTGGTGGAAACACCTTCTCCTAAGGCCCTGTGAACAACAGCGTCACCTGGTGCACCTCTCCCTCATATTCTGACCCAGCAGACCTGAGAAGGGCCCAGGAGCATGCATTTTAACTAGCATTCCAGACGACTCTTATATACACCAGCATTTGAGAGCTACAGGATTGTGGATCAACACAGGAGTGTGGGGAGAGGATAACAGCTACTTCCTGTGAGTCTAGTTTTGCTTGTATTTAGCAAACACATTTTGGGGGAGAACTGAGCTCTTCCAGGGTTCATGATGGAGATGTATATTTACTTAAGTTTTATCTTCAAGCTGCAGGTTTGGAAAATTGCCTGACAGCTTCTATAGACACAGGACTAGCTGTGGAGGAGAGCGAGGGGCTGTTATCTTACAACTTCTACAGCTTTGAAAGTGCAGCCACTGTTATCTCACGACTTCCACAGCTTTGAAAGTGCAGCCATGGATGCAGAAGGCCAGTGCCAGGGTCTCCTGACAACTTTGCCATTGCCTGTGTTATTGGGGAAGAATTGGGATGATCCAGAGCATGAAAAGGATCAGAACTTGAGAGAAATCCAGACTCCTCATCCTCTGGAACAAGCCAGAAGTGTCTCTGAGATCTGCCACTCTTGTGGCTCTGGGTCCTGCCCCCAGGGGCGTTGTGAGACTTTGTCAGTGAAGATGTTTATGTGGCTCTGTGGAAAGATGAATAACTGCCCCCCCCCAATATGTCCACGTCCTAATCCCTGAGACTGTGGATATGTGACCTCACAGGGCAAAATGACTTTGTAGACGTGATCAAGTTAAGGATTTTGAGATCAGAGATTGTCCTGGATTATCCAGTGGACCCAATGGCATCACAAGGGCCCACATAGGAGGGAGGTGGGAAGGTTGAAGGAGAGAGCAGGAAATGTGGCGATGGATGCAGAGGGTCTGCGTCAGAGAGATCAGCAGATGTTGCACTGCTGGCTTTGAAGACGGAGGAAGGGTCCAGGAGCCAAAGAATGCAGAGACCTCTGGGTGCTGGAAATGGTAAGAAAAGTCATTCTGCCCCAGAGCCTCCAGAAGGAGCATAGTCCTGCCCACACCTTGATTTCAGCCCAGTGAGAACCATGTTGGGCTTCCAACCTTCAGAATTGTAAGATAATATATTCATGTTCTTTTTTCAGCCACTGAATTTGTGGTAACTTTTTATAGCAGCAATAGGAAACTGACACAGGCTGTCAGTACCAGTGCCTGTTCTAAATGTTTCACGTAATAGCTCATGAAATCTCTGCAATGGCTGTAGACTGAATGTTTGTCTCCCCCCAGAATTCATAAGTTGAAATCACAGCCCCCAATGTTAGGGTATTAGGAGGTGGGGCCATTGATAGGTGATTAGATCATGATGCGGAACCATCATGAGTGAGATTAGTGCCCTTCTAAAAGAGACTCCAGGGAGCTGCCATGCCCCTTTCACTATGTGAGGACCCAGCAAGAAGGCACCCTCTATGAACCAGGAAGTCCTCATCAGACACCAAATCTGCCAGTGCCTTGATCTTGGACTTCCCAACCTCCAGAACTGTGAGAAATAAATGACTGTTTATAAGCCACCCACCTACAGTAATTTGATCTAGCAGTCCAAGTGGACTATGACAGCAACCTAAGGGGTAGGTTATATTATCTTCATGTTACAGATGAGGAAACTGAGGCACAGAAAATGCAGGTAGGTGCCTTGGCCGTGGACACACAGGGAGCAGGCAGTGATGTCCCTGCTCTGCCCACTGTTATTATTATTATAAACAAAATTACTTTCTGCTTTTGGGGCAAATAGCTTCATCCACTAGAAAAGAAAATGTGTTCCAGTGAAGGTCCTGGTCACCGGCAGAAACTCTCCCCAGAACTTGCAAGACAGAGTGAAGCTGTGTGAAAATTCCTTCTTCTAGGGTACTAAGACAACCTCCATCAGCCATTGGTGCCACCACCCTCCCATCTAGTATTTCTGGATTACGAGCAGGAGCCCAGGGCTTTGCATTTATAGGCACATTTCCTCCTTGTTCCACTTGTACCCAGAGAAAGGGCCAGACTGCAAGGCTCACAGAAGGCTTCACACCAGGAATTATTTCAAGTGTGTTTTTGAGGGAGTAATAGAGATTCTGCTAAGAAAGATTAAGAAGAAATGTAATTGTCCACATTTTGAGCACAGATCTTTAAAAAGCCTTCGCATGTCCCATTTTTGCATATCTTTTGATAATTCATGGGCAAACATATGGAGAATCTCATTCACAACTTGATTTTGGTTTTCTTAAACTTATACCTAAGTTTGAATTTTTTAGAACCTGTGAACAGGTTTATTCTATGGCTGCTGGTTTATGCTGCTGAGGATACAAGGGCTCGCGTAAGCCATGAAGAAGAGATTAGGAGAATCTATCCATGACCTTCTGGACCCGGTGACTGTCCGAGCCCTTTCGTGTGGCCCTCAGTGCTCGCACGGCGAGAGCGGCCATCAGAAGCACCCTTACTTTAACAACGGAAAGCATCCCCTCGTTGGTTTGGGGGTTGGTGTGGATCTCGAAGCTCTGCCCCGGGTTTCCATTGATGATGGTGTAGGCAGCCCTCCACGCGCCTGTGCTGGGATCGTCTTTGTCTTCAACTGTCAGATTGACAATAACTCCCACAGCTCCTTCCTCGACTGTGGCTTGAAACTGCAAACAAAGCAGACGGTAACTGTCAATAATTTGAAAAAACATAGCAAAGACCCTTTACAGAGTTCTTACCATCTGCTTGGTACTGGGTATGTTACACACATCATCTCACTTAATAATAAATAATAACATAGGAGGGTTATGGCCTGGAAGGTCCTACGCTCCACCTCACAGCTTTCCTTGAACTCGGGCGAGGCTGCAAGATTAACTTCTTGCCTGCAGAATGTGGCAGAACGATGCTTGCTGTGGCGGGGCTGGGCTGCACTGGGTAGGAGGGTTTAGAGAACAGCAGCTGTGCCTCCTCTCTGTAATTCTTCTCCCTCTGCAACCTGAACGCAGACAACCACAAAACCCAAGGGTGGATGGAGTCCCAAGGGAGAAGCTTGGGTCCCCAAGTCACGGCATGGAGGGGTAAAGCCTGGTGGCCAGGAACACTCGACCTGAACTATTGCTGAATCAGAAACAAACTTCTATTGAGTTCAAGTGACTCTACCTTCTTGTCTGCATTTGTTCTTGCAGCCTCGCCTACCTGAAACACGATGACCAGACAAGCAGAGCGCTAGGACCCTGATGGAGGGACCGAACAAACTTCTATTGAGTTCAAGTGACTCTACCTTCTTGTCTGCATTTGTTCTTGCAGCCTCACCTACCTGAAACATGATGACCAGACAAGCAAAGCACTAGGACCCTGATGGAGGGACCAGGATCAAAGTGCAGTGTTTGACCCCAGAGCCTCTTCCAGACCCCACCCTCTTCTCTAATGAAGAAAAGCAATTTCAGCCTTCCCACCCCTTGCCCACAACTAATATGACTATTTTCTAAGAAAATGTATAAATCAATTGTTTGGAGCCTTGTACCTGTGTTTTTATTGTAATACATCACAAATACTTGTTCCAAGTAGGTGTGATGAAAATAAATCAATAAATGAAAAATCAGCTTTACCATAGATAGAGAATTTCACAAGCTATTGTTAGCACATTCCTTTGAGCTGGAAGCATAAAGCCTTGTTTTGGTGCTTACCTCTGACATACTACAGGTGAATAGTAATCTGTTTGCAAATATTTTATAAACAAGTAATACCAATAAGCTGACAACAAGAAGAAATATCTTAGAATTTCAATTAGTAGGAAAGTAAATCTAGAGACAGTAAGATGATGTCAAAAAGCTGTTGTGTTCAAAGAGAAGTAATTTGAGAAATGAGGTTTCAAAAGCAGCGACTGATTAATTGACTTGCACATCATTAATCATCAGCCTTAATCCTGATGCCTTGGGGGTGGGGGGGGAGACGGAAACTAATTTGTCTATCACACCTTAGCACACCTGGGCCAGTTGTTTGCCTTCCATAACAGGGGCTCTGGAAAATTCTTAGAATATGCATGCAGGATGGAATATAGCTGGGATGAGGAGGGACACTGAACATACTGTCACACAGAGCCAGCTCCATGGTCAGTTATCTTGACCTGATTCCTCTGGTTCTCGTTTAAGTGAGATCAATTGGTCCTATCTTCTATTTTTCCCTCCTCTCACAAAAATCATAGAATTCCTGAGCTAGAAAACTAGACCAGTGGTTCTCAGCCCTGTCTGCACATTAGAGTCTCCTAGGGGGCTTTTCAAAAGAATTCCTGGGTTCTATTCCAATTCAGCTGGTTTGGGGTAAGGCCTAGGATTCAGTATTTCCTAAACTTGTCCAGATAAATCTAATACACAGTGCAGAGTGAGAAACACGATGGAGTCCAAGTCTAAGGAAGGGGTAGGAGTCAAGGGGCAGGGGTGCATGGGGAGGACGGAACGGTGTGGAGGGGTCCCCTATGCATCTGGGCTCAGCAGGAAGGAGTGCTATGATCAATTACTGCTATCTGCTGTGTATCCAGGAGGGGGCTTTGGTGATATAACAGGGGCTCTGGAAAATTCTTAGAATATGCATGCAGGATGGAATATAGCTGGGATGAGGAGGGACACTGAACATACTGTCACACAGAGCCAGCTCCATGGTCAGTTATCTTGACCTGATTCCTCTGGTTCTCGTTTAAGTGAGATCAATTGGTCCTATCTTCTATTTTTCCCTCCTCTCACAAAAATCATAGAATTCCTGAGCTAGAAAACTAGACCAGTGGTTCTCAGCCCTGTCTGCACATTAGAGTCTCCTAGGGGGCTTTTCAAAAGAATTCCTGGGTTCTATTCCAATTCAGCTGGTTTGGGGTAAGGCCTAGGATTCAGTATTTCCTAAACTTGTCCAGATAAATCTAATACACAGTGCAGAGTGAGAAACACGATGGAGTCCAAGTCTAAGGAAGGGGTAGGAGTCAAGGGGCAGGGGTGCATGGGGAGGACTGAGCGGTGTGGAGGGGTCCCCTATGCATCTGGGCTCAGCAGGAAGGAGTGCTATGATCAATTACTGCTATCTGCTGTGTATCCAGGAGGGGGCTTTGGTGACACGTCTGCTATCTAATGCCTTCAGATTGCAGTTAGTGAACCAAAGGTCAGACCCAAGTCTCNGGATCAAAGTGCAGTGTTTGACCCCAGAGCCTCTTCCAGACCCCACCCTCTTCTCTAATGAAGAAAAGCAATTTCAGCCTTCCCACCCCTTGCCCACAACTAATATGACTATTTTCTAAGAAAATGTATAAATCAATTGTTTGGAGCCTTGTACCTGTGTTTTTATTGTAATACATCACAAATACTTGTTCCAAGTAGGTGTGATGAAAATAAATCAATAAATGAAAAATCAGCTTTACCATAGATAGAGAATTTCACAAGCTATTGTTAGCACATTCCTTTGAGCTGGAAGCATAAAGCCTTGTTTTGGTGCTTACCTCTGACATACTACAGGTGAATAGTAATCTGTTTGCAAATATTTTATAAACAAGTAATACCAATAAGCTGACAACAAGAAGAAATATCTTAGAATTTCAATTAGTAGGAAAGTAAATCTAGAGACAGTAAGATGATGTCAAAAAGCTGTTGTGTTCAAAGAGAAGTAATTTGAGAAATGAGGTTTCAAAAGCAGCGACTGATTAATTGACTTGCACATCATTAATCATCAGCCTTAATCCTGATGCCTTGGGGGTGGGGGGGGAGACGGAAACTAATTTGTCTATCACACCTTAGCACACCTGGGCCAGTTGTTTGCCTTCCATAACAGGGGCTCTGGAAAATTCTTAGAATATGCATGCAGGATGGAATATAGCTGGGATGAGGAGGGACACTGAACATACTGTCACACAGAGCCAGCTCCATGGTCAGTTATCTTGACCTGATTCCTCTGGTTCTCGTTTAAGTGAGATCAATTGGTCCTATCTTCTATTTTTCCCTCCTCTCACAAAAATCATAGAATTCCTGAGCTAGAAAACTAGACCAGTGGTTCTCAGCCATGTCTGCACATTAGAGTCTCCTAGGGGGCTTTTCAAAAGAATTCCTGGGTTCTATTCCAATTCAGCTGGTTTGGGGTAAGGCCTAGGATTCAGTATTTCCTAAACTTGTCCAGATAAATCTAATACACAGTGCAGAGTGAGAAACACGATGGAGTCCAAGTCTAAGGAAGGGGTAGGAGTCAAGGGGCAGGGGTGCATGGGGAGGACGGAACGGTGTGGAGGGGTCCCCTATGCATCTGGGCTCAGCAGGAAGGAGTGCTATGATCAATTACTGCTATCTGCTGTGTATCCAGGAGGGGGCTTTGGTGATACGTCTGCTATCTAATGCCTTCAGATTGCAGTTAGTGAACCAAAGGTCAGACCCAAGTCTCCTGGATTCCAATAATCTCTGCTCTCAACCAGTTCTGCTAGTCAAGCCCACCTAAAAGCCCATTCCCTAGGCCAGTCCTTCACCTCCTGATATGGTTCAGAGCCAGAGGACTAGTTCTCTGTCCATACTGATCACAGCAGACATCAGCTCATAACCTGTCCTTGGAGCTCTTCTGACATCCGTACTGAGTTGTGCTAATGTTAGAGGATGCTGGGCACAACCTGCTAGGTAGAAAGGTTGTTAACATCCAATACATTCATGAGAAGTTGCTTTGTCAAAGCAGATGAGTTTCAGGTTGCCAAGATGCAAAAGCTATAGCAGACCACGATTTGAGGAGGCTGGAGGCCCTGTGTGTATCTGTCTTGCTCAGGGCTTTATCTCCAGCCCCTCACACAGCACTAGGTGCACAGAAGGGCTTCAGAAGATATTTGTTGAATGAATGAATGGCCTTAAATACAGGAAATGGGATCAGGCAGCAGAGGTGAGGCCTGAGAGGGAACATGAAAGGCTATGCTCACCATATGGGAGCAAGTCTCAGCGGGACTGACTCACTGATGGATGCCTGATTCTAGCACTTGCCTGAATGTTCCAGAAGGGTGTGGGTGGGCTGATGTCCCTTGTTCTCAGGGCATCTTCAGCAGGACTGCATCACAACTCTCATGGACCCTGGGGACTTTTGTCTTCACCAACCCTCCTACCATAACACATGCTCATGGGATTTAAAATTTTCACTTTCATGATGTGAGGAAAAGAATTACAAATTTGTTTGACCCCAAGAGCTCTTTTTTCCTTCTGATTTTAGGGTCACAGCTTTATGCCAATGGTATCTAATGGATGCATCATCCCCAATCCTCAGTTCATAGCACAGTGCCCAACACATGACCAGGTCTGAAGATCTGATGGATGCATGGATTAATTAATTAATTAAATTAACATCTAGGCCATGTCTAACTGAGACAGCCTGTGAAGCTTCTCCCACAGCACTGAGATTTTCATGTCTGCAGCACCTACTGAGGGGACTGGCACAGAATACCTTTTTAGTGCACGAGCAAATGAATCCAAGCGGAATGGGATAGTGGTGACGTTCCGGGAATTCTCAGAAGTGTGTATTGTGTCACTCATGTGTCCTTAATTGTAGTAATGGGTCCACAGTTACAGTTATCTACCTACCATGTATCTATTCATCCATCCATCCATCCATCCATCCATCCATCCATCCATCCATCCATCCCCCATCCATCTAGGGATACACTAGCAAA